TCCTTTTCTGTTCCTCAAACGTGCTCAACACGTTCCATCCCTGGCGTCGCGTTTCCTGTCCCCTGTGCCTGGAAGCATCTCTGAGCTCTGTCAGCCGGCCTCTTATCCGTTAGGCCTCTCCTCCACAGAGAGGATTTCGCGTAACACCCCAGACACTCTCTACCACTTCATTCGATCTGTCTCCTGAACAACATCATCAGGGTCCCCCTGTTCTCTTCCATCACGTGAGGGTGGCACTCTGCAGCCCTGAGGGATGCCTCCGCCTCACCGCGCCAGCGCCCTGATCTTGGCCTTCCAACTTCCCGAACTTTACCCTGCTGGCTTCAAGCCCAGCCCGGCAAAAAGTGTGACCAAGAGTGATGAAGAGCAGCCGGGTATGTGTCCTGCATCTGCACAGTCTTCTGAGACAAACCAACAGAGTGACATTCAAGACTCAATTCAGACCAGATTTCGACCCCATCCTGGCAAACAGCACTCTAAGCAACACTTTAAGCTTTGCATATATTACTCCGAGGATCCTTGTGCGAAAAATACAGTGACTGCAAGGATGCTGTGAAAAGCCGCGGTACCTCGAGGTGTGGCCTGAGGTGTGCGCGGCCTCTTCGGTGACCGTGTGGTTTTCAGCGCACCTGCACGATCTAAGGCATAAATGAGTATCAGGCAACACAAACCACTCATCAGTGCTTTCACTGTGTCATCTTAAAACACCTCCTGTGTCTTTCGTTTTATATTCTTCTAACCAGATTCATACTTTGTACTATAAATACTACAGTATGGAATTTATACTTAGAATGGTCCAGAATTTAGGCCACTTTTGCCATGATGTATAAAAGGCTTGCCATCTTAGAAGGAATTTCTCTGTATACTCCCCCCTGAGTTTTTCATTCATTCATTTGTTCACGCATTCACTCGACTGACATTTATCGAGTTCCCACAATATGCAAGACACAGAGCACAGCAATGGATGGTTGCAAACACTTGACTCAGATAGTTGATAATTTTAGCAATTTTCTTTGTCCTTCACAAAGCAACCTGGACTTTTCCTCTCTTTTATGTTCCCTACTGCTTCTCTTTTTTTGCTAAGGCAACACAAATCCCACTCCATCTGGGAGTTAGAGGTCAGTTTTCAACTCTTGGTTTATTTCCTTCTCTGTTTTGCCCCCCTAGGTCTTAAATGGAGAAATGGGTTCAGAAGCAGGTATCGCTGAGCTGTTTTGAAATGACTCATCTCTGCAAAAATATTACCCTCTCAAGTGCTGTTCTTAACATCCACGTGTCATTAAAAATTCATCATCTATATTTGAACAAAAAAGGTCCCCCTAACCATTTGTCTACTAATTTATCATCTCTTGCTCTCCCCAATAGACTGTAAGACCCTAGTTTGCTCACTCGTGCCTACAGGAGTGTCTGGCAGGTAGTAGGTGCTCAATAAATATCCGTTGACTGATCAACTCTCCTCACGTTCATCTTCCCCTGTGCTGCTTTCTGCTGTGCAACACCCCCTGCTCCCCTAACAATCCAGCCCTCCCCCTTCGCCTCCTGTTTTCCCAGCACCACGGCCAACAACTTTCCCTGCACCCTAACCTTTTCGCCACACGCGTCACCTCCTTCTCCTGCCTCTTCAGTGCGAACTCGTGAGATCACATGTGGTACCACAGCTCAGAAGGCTGACGGGCGGGGCCAGCTTTCTTCCTGGTCTCCATCATCGCTGCTTCACCCCGACTCCTCTACCCTTTTGTAAGTCTCCCTCCTCCTCCTCCTCCTCTTCCTCCTCCTCCTCCTCCATCCCAATACAGCAGGAGTTTCCCGCCATCCGGATCGACCATCCTCTAACCCTCATCATCCGCGCCATCATCTCTAATCTCCCACTTTCTCCTCAGTATCATCTAGAATTTGCCATGCAATTCCCAGTTCTCCTATAAAGCCACCTCTGGAGTCTCACTGCTGTGGGTGGCCTCTGCCTTTTCCTGTCATTTCAGCACCTGGTAAAGCCAAAGATCACAACAGTAGGACAAAGGAACAATCAGTGTGCCCATACCTGTTTCTCTGCGCACGGGCGGATTCACTCATGCCATAATCCCAGAGCCGCTCCACCGCGGCGATAAAATAGTGTCGCGTTCTCTTTTGAAAGCTGCGGGGATCCTGATTTTTATCCTCACCATAAATGTCAAAATCTCTCATCGTTTCAGTTGGGAAGATGTCATCATAGTCAGTTTTGTCTTCCTCTGGCTGAGAAGTAGTAAGGGTCATGTCCCTTTGATGGTGTTTCGAGGCCGGAGGCTTTTGAAAGTACAACGCTCCGGTCCCTCCTTGCTTGGCCCAGGTGGTTTCTGTTTGGTGCTTATCGAGTTCTTCATGTATTGCTGCTATCGAATGGTTGTTTTCAAAAGGGTCTAGGGACAACATGGCATCTTTTGTCTTAAGAGCTGTGTCTTCGCGTGACTTCTCGTGGACTTTCTGCTCTGCTCTTGGTACCTGGGTGGCGTGTTGGTTATCCCACGCGAGGAGCCCCAGCTGCTTGGACGGAATGTGTTCAGAGCTCTCGGTTTCCCATTTCAGAAAGGGCGTTTTTCCAGATCTATTTACTTTATTCAGTTGAACAGATTCCTCTGTGTTCTGCAGGAAGATGTCTTCTGTGGGGTCCAGGCGGCCAGGAAAACCAGTGCTAGTTTTTGTAGGGAGAGAGTCTTCCTGATGAACGTGAACTTCAGGGAGTAATTCACCTTCACCCGATGCTTTAGACAAGCCTGGTTTCAAGAGAACAGTATCTTCAAGTTTCTCGTATATGAGTGAGTTTGTGGCACTTTCCGCCCGGGTGCTGATCTTTTCTTGACTTCCAGTCATTTCCAAGGTTAGGAGAGCTAAAGACAAATTGCTTTTGGCTCCTCCTAAGAAATGATTGCTTCCTCGGACCCCGGAACTCCTCTCCCTAGGGGTATAACTACAGGCTGATGCTAGAAGATGAGAAGCGTTGTCTTGAGATGGGATCTTGGCTGGATCCATAGGACTGGCCGATGGAAATGCTGATATCTGCGTGTTGGGTGATGCATGGCCATCCGTTTGAATGACGCCATGAGTCCTCATAGAACGATCTAAGAGGGACTGCGTACTGGCCCCTTTGTCCTTCTCATTGGACTCTACCTGGGTGCGAGTGCCCTGAGTCAGGTCGTTCGTGTTTCTGGACCACTGGGTTGAGGTGTCATTCCAAATGACCGTCCTTTTGAGCTCTGTCCCTCCCTTCGGGAGGCAGACCTGCTTCGCATCCCGCTTACTGCGTTGGGCGGCAACGTTCTCCTGACTTGGGTCAGGCGACGTCCTCGTGCCATGGGGATACTCCTCTGCCATTTGCTTGGTTCTCTCCCCCAAGCCTTCCGAGTTTGCGTCCTCCCTTATTGAGAAACGGGCCATGCGAATCCCTGCTCTCTTTGCCGAATCATTCAATGCCCTGCCGTCTTGAAGTATTGGAGTATTTATCCCCTTGTGTAAACCATCTCCATTTTGCTTAGTGCTTAGTGGGAAAAGGGCCTTCAGGAAATTCTTGGTGCCATTCATTGTATACAACTGAGGCAAGACTATGTTCTCTTGCATTAATTTTTCCTTCCTTTCTGTCTCTTCTTGGGATTTTTTTTCTTGAGTGTCTGTATCATTTTCTTGGACGTTAGTCAAGTTAGTAAAAAATCTGCTGCTGCTGTTTGGAGAAATCATCTCTTTGAGTCCCACGTCCTCTGGAAATTCGTCTTCTTCTACTCCTGCCTTCTTTGACGAGAAATGCTGATCTGTCACAGATTTTTCTGACCCTGAAGAGGTCAGTGGCTTTGGACCAGGCCTTGGCCCAGAGCTGAGGGAGTTCTTGCTGTGGGTCCTCTTTATCCACTTTGCTGAATCTAGTGAGAAGAGTGTCTCGAAGGGTGACACATCTGGATTTTCTGTACCTAGTGGCACAGGGCCCTCTTTTTTTTCATGGACCATTTCCATATTTTTTGATGAAGTAGTTGTATTTGATACATAACTCAGCCCCAAAGCCATAGTATTTTCATCCATAAGCGTTTCATTACGAATCAAAGAAGTCACTTCTTGAAACTCAGCTGTACTTTTTAACATAATATCTTCCCAGGCTGATGTACTATTATTCTCTGTTAATAATGGTGGGCCCTCACTGTGAGTCATTCTGTCGGTTGTTGAGTTAATCAGTGACTGGTTTATCTTTACCAAAGTGGTGTTAACTTCGAATAAAGAATTACCTTTGGTCAGTGAAGCAGGTCCATGAAGTCTTTCCTCTTTAAATAACCGGTCACTCTCTGTCGATGATGCATTTTTTCCCAGTGAACTTTCTTGACTGTTCATTAAAGCTGCTTCTAACCACTTGGAGTCATTATCCCCTTTACTCAAGCCCAGAGGCACACCAGACCCAGTACGGTGAGATGAACTTTCGTCAAATACAGTGGCGTCTAACTGACTACTAAAGCGATCTGGCATATTTGGGGGGCCTAAAGAATCTGTCTTTTCACCACTTGCTGCCAACTTTTCTGATGAAATTGTTGGCGAAGTCATTAGCTTGTCCGATAAACTAGACATTTTTAAATCAAGTTCCTTCAACTCTACTGTTACAGTTGTCCCCAAATTCTCATTTAATCTTAATTGCATTTCCGGCTCAGGAGTAAATACTCTGTCCCTAGGGTTCTGGAGCTCTGGTCTGAGCTGTGCCACATCAGATGGGCCCCTGTTTCTTTCTCTTGCTCCAGGTACATGATCATCAGCCTCGTATGTGGCTTCTTGGAGGTCAGATAAGGATAATCCATGTGGAGTAGTTTTCTTTCCCAAGAGCATCAACAGATCACTAGAGGAGACACTTTGTACTTTGGGCAGCTGTGTTCTCTCTCCAGGCCAAAAGTCAATCTTCTCTACATCATTTTCTGGAATTGCAGTGGCTTTGAATTGCTTTTGCCTAGGGCCGGGGTGCCTTGAATTCCGGAAGAAGCTTCTTGGTTCAAAGATGTTGTTTTCAGTCAGCAAGGAAGTTGGGATTTCTTCATATGTGTCCTCATAATAATCACCAGTGTTTCTGTTACAACCAGAAACCTTCAGTAAGGCTGTCATGCCTCGGTTCCGAAAGTCTGAGTTGTGGCACCCCAGAACCCACAGACCTGGAGACGAGGAAGAATAAGACTTTGGTTACTCATAACCCAGGTCCCAAGGAGGCTTCGTGTTAGAGGCTCTCGCCTACATCCAGATACATGAAAAATACTGGTTGGTACCATTATGTCACAGGTCATTGTGACAGTAGTCTAGCAATGGCAGTAAACGTGGTTTTTGCATTGCTACTGTTGTGGTTTATCTGTTTGTGACCGCAAGAAAGGGCTGTGATTAAAAGCGAATAGGTACTGGAATAAAAATGGACAAACGTAGTTAATGTACACAGTAGTGGAGAGTCTTAATAGTGGCACAGAGGTCTGATGGTGACAATGACTTATCTCAGGAAAGTTTATATAGGCTGGCTGTTATTGCTGTATGACATAGTGGCACAGGTTCTAGAATCAGATTGCCTGGGTTCAAATCTTAGCTCTACCATTTCCCAGCTGTGTGACTTTGAGCAGATCACTTGAGCTCTCTGAGCTTCAGTTTCTAACTTACCAACGAGGCTGATCATATCTACCGCATCATACAATGCATTCTAATCACATAACACAAGGCCTAGCATCGGCTGTCACCCATTCGCAGGATACACAAGCATGAAGCAACAGGACTTGGGTTCAGGACACACATGCCAACCCCACCACAGTGTGAGCAGTACTCATTTCTGTTGTGGACAGGTGTATCCGAGTGAAGGAATTTCATGGTAGTAAATTAGATACATAACCATACGTGAAAGAAATACACCTTTACCAAGCTACCCATCCCGTACCAAAACCACCTCATCATCTGACACAATAGCTGCAAGCGAAGTGAACTCTTAACTGAATCCAGTTTTCCCTCAAAGGGGAAACTTTCCCCAAAGTGTATTCCCGCAGAGACCTGTGAGACAATGGGCTGCCGTGGAAGAGACTTCTGCAGGCAAACTCATTTTGGAATGAATACACACTCTGTGTGCAGTGAGATCATCAAATGGGAAATGATAATAAAGACATTTGCTAATATCCAAGGATTCAGAAAATCTACCTCTAATGCAAACATCCTATGGAGGTGATTAGAGAGTAGTTTCTACTAAAATAAAAGGGTATATTAAAAATAGGAAGACATGAGACCTAGAAACCAGGCACCTATCTTGAGGGAGGATGAGGAAGAGTCGTAAGGTGATAACTGAGCCCGAGGCCCAGAGAGAACCGGCCCAGACTGCAGTAGGGGGATGCCTGGGTCCAGGGGTCAGTATCGAAGCGAGACAGAATACATTATATGATAGAACTCTTGGGAAAAAAACAGGATGACTAAAGAGAAAACCTTACAGGAACAGGAAAACAATTAGAAGTTACAGTTAAGCAAGTTATAAAAATAGGAAGCGTAATCCTGTTTGGTTCCACAGGGAACATTTTCATCATTTACTGTGATTTCACTAAAAATAATAATGTGATTTCACTCAAAATAGGGAAATAATTATAAGTTTGGGGATTGGGAGCCCAATTTAATGATGTTTAAAGCAGTTTTGATGGTATTAAAACCACACTGGGTCAGAGTAGACCAGGACTGGAGCTGAAATTAGTAGTTTAAGTAAGGCGTTGACTCTTAAAATTTCACTGTTATAACTTAGACAAAACAAATACCTTCCTTTCCCGGACGCAGACATTAATTGGGTGAAAAAAGGGGAAACGAAACTCCATACACAGTTCTGGAGTGACATACACCAGACTCTGAGGTGGGCCTGGAATGGGGACTAGTGATCAAGAAGGACTTTAGTCGTATCTGTATTGGCTGAATTTTTGTAATGAGAACATCTTTTCGTATTACATGTGTAAATAAAAAATTATAAAAATTATAATTAATGAAGAAATCTCAACCTAAGAGCTTAAAGAAGAGTTGATTCTGTGATGGAAACCTCAATAAAATAACCAAATAAAAATAAGAAATTCGACATATACAAAATTCAAAATAAGAAAGGAGATATTATCATAGATGCAAAGAACATTAAAACAATTACGATTCCCTTAAAGACAACTCCGCTGCCATATTCTCCTCTTCCAACTTCTGACACAGGCATCAGATGCCTGGCCAAGTTTGAGACTTGGTCAGCACTACAAATATATGGATCAGCTTCCTGCCTCAGTAATGTAACCAGGGATCTCAGTAAACTAACTAATTTCATCGACTGTTATCCAATCCTGGATAACCCAGAGAGATGGAGCCCAGCTGACCATGAGCGGCCAGGAGCACATCTCAGGCCGCAGTAGATAAGAGCTCGTTAGTCCACCAAGGCTGGTGCAGGATCCTAGTGCAGGATAGTAAAGCGGGATAGTAAGCAGTCTTTTTTTTAATGATGATGGTCACATATACTAACTGGCATAGAAAAACAAATATGTTAAATGAAAAATAAAAGCAGGTTACAAAACAAGACGAGTTCAAATTCTCCATATAAGTGATTCCATACAGTAGTTATCTTTGTTCTGGCTTATTTCACTTAGCATAATGCCCTCCAGGTTCATCCATATTGTCACAAATAGCAGATTTTCCTTATAAGTGTGTGTGTGTTAACACATATGTATCACATTTCATTATCCATCCATTCATCCATGGACACAGGTTATTTCCATATCTTGGCTATTGTGAAAAATGCTGCAATGAACATGGGGGTGCAGGTATCTTTTTAGGATTCTTATTTCATGTCCCTTGAATATATACCCAGAAGTGTGATTGCTGGGTCATAAGGTAGTTCTATTTTGAATTTTGGGGGCACTGCCATACTGTTTTGCTCCAATTTACATTGCCACCAACAGTGAACGAGGGTTCCCTTTTCTCCACGTCCCCTCTGGCACTTGTTATTTCTTGTCTTTTTGATGACAGCCATTCTGACAGGTGTGACATGTTCTCTCATGGTGGTTTGGATCTACATTTCCTTGATCAGTGATGTTGAGTACCTTTTCATTCACCTGTTGGCCATTTGTATGTTTTCTTTGGGGAAATTTAATGTTATCTCATAAGTCCTGTAGGTTTTCTTGATTTTTATTTCTTCTCAGACTGAATACATTCAAAAAATTTGTCTTTGGGATCACATTCTTTTGCTTGATCAAGTCTGTTGTTGAAGCTCTTTATCGCATTTTCATTTTCGGGAGGGGGTTTAATGATTTTTTTCAAATGCTGTTTACATATAACATTATATTAGTTTCAGGTGCACAGCATAGTGTTAGACATTTACATAACGTACGAAGTGATAGTTCCGGTGAGTTTAGTCCTCACTTGGTGCCATACACAGTTCTTACAATATTATCGACTGTATTCCTTTTGCTGTATGTCACATCCCCGTGACTATTTTGTAACTGCCAGTTTGTATGTCTTAATTCCTTTTACCCAGACCCCCAACCCCACCTCCCATTTGTCAACTATCAAATGTTCTCTATATCTCTGAGTTGGTTTCTGTTTTGTTTGCTCATTTATTTTGTTCTTCGGATTCTGCATATAAGTGAAATCATAAGTGAAAGCATTTGTCTTTGTCTGACTTACTCCACTCAGCACAGTTTCCTCCAGGCCCATCCATGAAGTTGCAGATGGCAAGATTTCATTCTTTTTTATGGCTGAGTACTATTCCACTGTATGTATGCACCACCTCTTCTTTATCCGTTCATCCATTGGCGCACACCCAGGCTGCCTTCATATCTTGGCTACTGTAAATAATGCTGCAATGAACCTATGGATGCATCTGTCCCTTCGAAGTTGTTTTGGGTTCGTTTGGATAAATACCCAGAAGCGAGATTACTGAGTCCTTGTTTTTTGTTGTTGTTTTTGTTTGTTTCCATGAAATATCTTTTTCTATCCCTTTCCTGTCAGTCTCTGTGTGTCTTCTGATCTGAAGTGAGTCTCTCATAGGCAGCGTATGTGAGGGTCTTTTCTTATCCATTCAGCCACCTTATGTTTTTGGAGCATTTAATCCATTTACGTGTAAGTAATTGTTGATAGATATGTAGTTATTGCCATTTTATTATTCACATTTTTGATCTTTTCTTCTTAAAAAAATCCCATTAACATTGCTTGTAACCCTGGTTTGGTGGTGATGAACTCCTTTAGCTTTTTCTTGTCTGGGAAGCTCTGTTTGTCCTTTGATTCTGAATGATAGATGTGCTGAGTGGAGTCATCTTCTGAGAAATCAGCTGATGGTCTTATGGGAGCTCTCCTGTAGGTAAATAGATGCTTTTCTTTTGCTGCTTTTAAGATTCCCTAGTTGTCTTTAACCTTCGTCATTTTAATGATGATGTGTCTTGGTGTGGGTCTCTTTGGGTTCATCTTGTTTGCGACTCTGCACTTCCTGGGCTTGTATGTCCATGTCCTTCACCAGGTTAGGTAAGTTTTTCCATCATTATTTCTTCAAATAAGTTTTCAATTCCTTGCTCTCTCTCCTCCTTCTGGTACCCCTACGATGCGAATGTGGGTACGCTTGATGTTGTCCCAGAGGCCCCTTAAAGTATCCTCATTCTTTTGGATTCTTTTTTGCATGTTGCTGCTCTAATTGGGTGTTTTCTGCTACTTTGTCTTTCAAATTGCCGATTCGATCCTCTGCTTCATCTGATCTACTGTTGGTTCCCTCTAACACAGCGGTCCCCAACCTTTCTGGCACCAGGGACCAGTGCTGCTATGAGAATCTAATGCCTGATTAACTGAGGTGGAGCTGAGGCAGTGATGCTAGCGCTGGGGAGTGGCTGCAAATCCATACAAAGCTTCGCTTCCTGGCCCACCGCTCACCTCGTGCTGTGCAGCCCAGTTCCTAACAGGCCACTGGCCATGAGGACGGTGGAGGAGCTGCTGTGCACGGCTTGACCCCAAGAGTAGGATTCGCTTTAGCAGGGCTCCGGTGCCTGCCCCGTTTGCCCTACAGGTGTGTCACCCTCACATGCGCCCAGGCGGTACTCTGGTGCGGTTTGAAGCCGGCCACTGAGTATGTTGGTTCTGGGGCCTCTTGAGAGGGCCTCTGTTGCTGACCAAGGTCATCTACTGCCTATGCCCCACCCGGGTCCACTTGGTATGAGCTACAAAGTGAGCTGCAGGTGATTGCCACTTGTGCTGGGCTTAGGGGTGCATGGGAGAGGCTAAGCTGTGAACCAAGGCCGGGTGCCACTAGTGCCCAGTTTGGGGCTTCTCAGCAAGAGGTACGGGGCACACCAAGGCCAGCTGCTGCTTGTCTGGGGTTTGTGAGCCTTCGAGAGATTTTAGGAAAGTCTGCAGCATGAGTGCTTGGAGCTGGGTTCCACATCTCTGTGGCATGCCACATAGACTTAGGCCCCGGTGGGTGGGACGCAGTGGTGGCTTAGTGCTTGGGGGCAGGGTTCAGGGACAGCATCAACCCTAGGTATGATGGAGCACCGTGCTGCTTCAGGCCCTGGAGAGCGAGGCACAGTGGCAGCTCAGCCCTGAGGATGGCAATGATGAGTGCCATGGAGGCCCGGGGGGAGGCATGCTGGGAAGGGCAGTGGCTTGGACATTGAGCAGCTCTCTCAGCCGGCTTCAGTATTTGTGAAAACTGTGGGACCCTCAGGTAGGAAGCCTACAAGTGTCTAGTCAGGTTCTCTGCCTGGTTTTCAAATCAGATTGTTTTCTGTTGTTATTGAGTTGTGTGAGTTCTTTATACATTTTGGATTTTAATCTCTTTCCACACATACGGTTCGCATATATTTTCTTCATTACCAAGCTGCTCCAGACTGAGGGATGAAATGACGCAGGTAAAATGCTTCCTACGTTTTACGTGGCCATCCTCATTTTCTGTGCTCCACAGTCTTTCTGATGCTTCTTCATTGTGCTCTGGAGTCATCTCAGAGCTATTTCCATTGCTATGTAGTTGTTTGTTTGTTGTTTTTGTTGGTTTTGTGGGGGAGATGAGCGTTGAAACCTCTAGACCACAATCTTGCTGATGTCACTCCTGTGGAGGGACGTTTTTAAAAATATATTCTATGATTCAATTACAGTTGACATGTAATGTTCAGTCTTGATGTGGCTTCTTCCATATGTTCTTATAGGACTTCTGCTTAGCGAGATTTTGGGCGATTCTCAATGATGGTTGTTCTGTAGTTGTAATTTTGCTGTGGTCGCGAGAAGAGGCAGTCACAGGATTTCCTTCCTCAGCCGTCCTGACTGGAACCTGGAGTGGCATTTTTAAAGTGCTGGAGAAAAAAACCCAATAAAATAAAACGCAAAAGACCTATCAACCCAAAATTCTATACAGTGAAAATGTCATTAAAAAATTCAGGAGAAATAAAGACTTTTTAGACAAGCAAAACCTGAGAGAATTAACCAGCAGACTTGTACTATAACAAATGATGGAGTGATATACTATACATATAAGGGCACAGATAGATTAAAATTACAAGTATGGAAAAATATATACCCAGAAACATCAAGCAAAATAAAGATGGTCGAGGCATATAAATTTTAAACAAAGCAGTTATGAAGGCAGCAAGTACTACTTCAGACAAAGAAGGACATTTCACAATGATAAAATGGTTAATTTAAATGAGTACAGAGCGATCTTAAATTGTAAGTACCTCATTTTATATAAAGAGAAAAAACAGTTACAGAACTGTTGACACAGTTCTCTCAGTACCTGTAAGATGCAGGCAAAATATCAGTAAACTTAAGGATTTAACAACACAAGAAACCAACTTGACAAATATGTAACAGTTCACCCAACAATTGCAGAAGACATAGTCATTTTAAGTGCATATGAATCATAGCCAAAGTAAACCACATGCTGAGCATATAGCAAGTCTCAGCAAATTTCAAGCAATTGAAATCATACAGAATATGTTATATGAACACAGTGACGAAAAATAAGAAATCAGCAACAGAGATAACTAGAAATTACCCATATGTTCAGAAATTTAGTAAAACAGTTTTAAATAAATATGGGTAAAAGAAGAAAGCGCAATGGACGTTAGAAAATATTTCAAACTAAATGATAAAAACGTGACTCATCAAAACTTGCGATATGTGTTATTTTTTTTCCTGTGCTTACTAGTTTTATTCAAAAATGAGGTGCAAAAGTTGGAATAATAAGGCATAGGGGTTGGAAAGGAAAAACAAACTGTCAATATTTGCAGGCAGTTTGGTTGCTTATCCTAGAAAACCTTGTGCAAATGTAGACAATAACTGCTAGATATTATAAGTGAATTTAGCAAGGTTGCAAGGTACAAGGTCAACATACAAAAATTAACTGTATTTCTTGTGTGTTCCAATACAACTTTATTTACAAAACCAGGTGATCAACCTGTTGACTACGATTTTTTATTGAGATGTAATTGACAGGTATCATCGTGTAAGTTTACTGTGTACAACGTGTTGATTTAATACATTTATATGTTGCAGTATGATCACCACCATAGCATTAGCCAGCACCTCTTTCACATTACATAATAATCATTTCTTTTTTGTGGAGACTTATTCTCATAGCAGGGTGTAAAGTCACCTGTATAGTCATAAAACGGATGATGTAGTGACACACGCCGTAACATGAATGAATCTTGAAAACATGCTTAGTGAAAGAAACCAGACACAAAAGGATAAATATTGTATTATTCTATTTACATAAGATATCCAGAAGAAGCAAATCCATAGACAGAAAGTAGATTAGTGGTTGCCAGGAACTGGGGGCGGAGGGAACGGGGATTGACTTCTTAAGGGTAAAGAGTTTCTTTTGGGGTGACAAAAATGCTCTGGAATTAGATAGCAGTGACAGTTGAACAACAAACACCGAATGTACTGGAAGCCACTGACTTGTACACTTTAAATGGTTAAAATGTGCATTTTACATTATATGAATTTTACTTCAATAAACAAAAAGGCTCAGACTTTACCATTTTGAACGCAGGAAGTCTTCCCTAGGAGCTTTATTTAGCTTGAGCATTGTAGTCAACGATATTATGTTAAAAATGTTTCCCTCGAAGCACATAAAAGTTTTCATCTGTCTTTAGAATTTAAGTGATCACCAAAATAGTTTAAAAGCTTCTCAAAATATTAATGTTAAAAAAATTTTTCTCTGTGTACACATACATGCACACTCTTTGGTTTAGACGATTGCAACCATATTATACATACTGTTTTATACTATTTGGGTACATATTTAATTCATTCATTCATCGAAAAAGTATTTCTTAAGCATCTATTATAGGCCAGGTACTGTTAACACTGTGACTGGCAAGATAAACAAGGTTTCTGTCCTCAGCCATGCTTCCAACTTAGTTGGAAAATGGATAATGAAGGCGTAAGTAAGTATAAATGAACAAGACCCTTTCAGAGGTGTTATGGAGTTCTGTCAGCTTCTTGACTCCCCACAAAAATGCATGACTTCAAATCAGATCAGTTTCTGGTTCTGAAGGTAAATATATGTTTACAGGTGGTGAGATTTGGTTTTTATTCCCCAGATAATTTCCCATGAGGATTCATCTCCAGAAAAGCCAGAATCGTAAGAGAATAATTACAGTCTGCAGGTAACTTTTTGTGCTTTCCTCTGCAGATGAGGGGGGTGGGTGGGACCAGGAGCACACAGTGACCCAGCACTTGGTCGTCAGCTATACGAATGTCACAACAATCCTGTTGGATTTTAGGCCGGGCCAGGGTTCCTTCCCATCACAAGGCTGGGGTTCTCGGAAGCCTTGTAGCAGTTGTGGAGGGACAGGGAGGGTGAGAAGCCGACAGCCACATTCGTCCTGAAGGTTTCCTAGTGACCTGAGGGCTTGTGTGCAAATGGGGACTCCAAGCACTCCTCAGAGGCTTCTAGCTGGAATCTACCCAATAATGCCAGTGTTCACAAGGCGTACAGAAACGCCTGTACGTTTAGTCTCCACATCTTAATTGCACGTATACATGTATATTCACCACTACAGTTTAGTCAACCCACATAAAATTTTGGCCTATGGCAAGTAAAGGCGCTTTTTACAGTAAAGACTTTTAAGTTCAATACTTGATATGCTGCTGTCATTAAAATACCTGGCAATTACTAAAATCACTTGAACCATTTAGTGTCTGCCCAGATGTGAGCCAGCGGGCAGACGAGCATGGGAATGACTAGTGAGTGAAGCAATGACAGCTGTTAGTGAAAGAACAATATAAATAACTAACCTGGGTTTTCCATTGACATGAAGACAGTTTCTCCTGAGAACGGGAATAGGGTAAGTGTGTCTTCATAGACCATTTTGTGTTTGAAGGTATATCCAGAGAAGAATACAGAGAGGAAGTCAGTCTGTGCTCCAACGCTTAGAATGTACCAGTATGCCACCTCATGTAAACAGACCGACAGCTGCAAGGTATCAAAAACGTAGCCATTGATGCCTGCAAACGAAATGGAGAACGAGAGCTTTTAGCCGTATCAGGACTTAGTATTTTAGATTGCCATGATGGGATTAGAAATGATTATGTTATGTGCACAAAGAGGCAGCATTATACGTTCCGGAAAAGTAGATGGTTAATACTCGATCAGCTAGGCCCAGTCCCAAGGTGAGGAGACACATGCCTTCCTGGTAAACATGGGTTTGGATGCTCTGCAGCGGGGGGGAAGGGGGGGCGGGGGCAGTTTGATGAGGAGCAGGGCATTTGCATGGCCTCAGAGCATCTCCCTACAAACTGCTTATTCGTTGCAAGGAGGAAAATAGTAACTACATAGAGGAGAAACCAGGGGAAAAAAAGCAACCTTTGTCGGGCGATCAAAATTAACCTCCGTCCATGTTCCAGGTTCAAGGAAACTAGCAGACATCACAAAAGCAGGAGGACAGTTAGACCCAGTGCACAATCCAGGGCGGGCCCCTGAACTGCAGGGAGGACGTGCTACAAAACGCAGCACTGATTGACACAACTGGAACGCTGGCTGCCAACTGGAGAAATGTGTCGGCAGTAAGTTTTCTGAATTTTGTAACTCCACTTTGGTTATTTAAGACAATAACTTAATTCATAGGAATTATACAATGAAGTATCAAGAGATAAAGGAGTATGATGTCTTCAATCTATTCTTAAAAAGATTAGTAATAAAAGCACGTGTCTATAGAAATGAGAGCGATAAAACAAATATAGCAAAATGTTAAAATTAACGATTCTGGGTAAAGAGTATACGGGAGTTCTCTACTATTCTTGCAGCATTTATGTAAGTTTGACTCATAAACAATGTATGGGCGTACTTATATATGATTATGTAATCATGGAGAAAACATGTTTTCACATGGGCTACCTGGACACAGCGTGGTTAGTGGAAGGGTAAAATATGGAAGGACATGGGACGATAAAAGGAACGGGGTGGCCAACTGAATATCGAAAAGATCATAGTGTACACCTTAAATATGTACCATTTTTATTCGTCAATTGTACCTCGAGAAAGCTGGGGAAAAAAGATGTTGGGGTTTTAAATGTACAGTGTCTTGATTAATGTGACTTAAATCGCTATAGCTGGCAGTTGTTTTGCATAAGTAGAATTGCATTCCCTTTGTATTTCATGTGTAATCTACCAGTTGAGTGCATTTTATATTAAGTATGGATTAGGCATATTAAGGGAAATTAAAGCCATGTCTTATTTGATTTATCCTTGAAAAATAGAGTTCTCTGAATATTTGAGCCTCTAAAGGAAAAAAATGTGCATTATATGATCATATCTATGCATTTATATAAAATTGTATATGTTCGTATATAACCATTTTTAAGGAACTGTGACCCTCGCATGGCATATAAATGAATCCACCATGGGGATATCAGTTTGGTAGCTTCGGTTCCCCTTTGTCTCTTACCCAGTGGACTCAGGTGCTGCTTTACTTACTGTGCATGATGTTGGAGGCTCGGAAGTCTGGGTCCTGGGGCTGCACTCCGTCTGCACTGGGGAGGAAGCGCTGCATGTTCTCCGTGAGGTACCAGCTTTGGTTCTCATCAAATACAGAAAACAGGATGACGTTTCTCTTGTCTGACATCATCTGTTAATTACACACATGGAGAGAAACAAATGCCGCTGCTGTTGTCAGCTGGGATTTAGCAGCCTACACTGGAGGTAAGTGGTGCCATCCGTGTACTATACATATAATCCGTTGGTTCGATCCCACTTCTCCCTAGGGTCACTATTATAGCACGTAGCAGGGCCAACGGGTGAGTGGGTGCTATGAGCAATAAGTATGTGTTTACAGCAAATGTATCCTCAGGGCAAGAACGTGACTGGACCCGTTAAACTTCATTTCTTCTGGACCCAAAGCTATAAGCAGGCTGATTTTTTTTGGTACAGTCTGTAGCCTCATTCTCTCCACATTCAGATTAGAGGGTTGTCACTCTAAAGACCCAAGTGGTTATTCAGTGTCTTTCTTAAACAAGTTAGTCAAGTCAAGTAAGACGAATGCCTTTGCTAAACTTCCATCTAGCCACTGCTCTATAAAACATTAAAAAGAAAACAAATCAGATAACAAAGCTAAGATGAACCCTAAGATGTTAACTGACAGTAATACCTTTTCTGTTTAAAACATTTAAAGTTTTGTTTCAGAGGAGCAGTTCATATATAACCAAAGTTATATCAGTCACTTGCTAATTGAATCTTCTAAGGTGTGATGTGTACAGTTCACCAGTACGTGTCAGGTTTATTTTGCACAGCCTCTCGCTACAGAAACCAAAATGCTGAGGGGAGGCGGTTGGAGAATATAGAATTAAATTTTAGTCTTTTTCCAAAAACCGATGGAAAAACTATAATTAGGAAAAATTCATCAAGACAGGTACCTGGCTAAATTTATGCCACTCTCTTTTGTGTGTCACATGTTTTCCCTACGTTAAAATTCATGTGCTTCAGTCTCTAAACGAGTGAAATGTTTTCAGACAAGTACGAATCTTATGTATCATAACTAACCGAATGGCCACGTCGTCAGGCCTCAGCAATATGGCAGTGAGTTTTTGTGAAGAATTAAGAGTTTTTCATTGTTACATGAATGTTTATAGCAGCACGATTTGTTTTTAAAGATTTTAATTAAAATGTAGCTAACGTACAATATTGTATTAGTTTCATAAGGTTTTCTTATTCAGAGAATTTAACTTCATTATTTTAAAGAGCAAAAGTGGTCCAAATTCTAGCCATATTCTTAAATATTTTATATCTTTCCCTGTATTTTTCTCAACAAATATTTACTGAACTCTAGAGAAGTCTGTGATATAGGTTTGTGTGTCATCTAAAAATAGGTGATAACTGAGCATATAAAAATGGGAAAGAACACCTATGAAGAGTGGAAATTAAACTGGGAATGAGTATTACAGAAATGATCTAGGACCCAGGTGTCTTATCCATCCAGCAGGCAAGATTACTACACCAACCTCAAAATCAGTAACAGAAGTGAGAAACCCAGTTCATTTCTTTTATTGGCCAATATTGCAGACTACTATATTTTCTGCATGCTAGAAGGGGACACACACAGAGACAGTATAGGAAATATGATCTGGAAGTTCATGTGCATCATCATTCTATCTTGAGCTCCAAAGCCAGCACTTGGAAAGAGAAGAACTCACCTGGTTTCCTCTTTGATCTACAGATTCTTTGTAGCAGATGAGAAGGGGGCCAATGAGTCCTGAAGCTAGATCTTTCTCTAGGTTAACGAAGCTTGAGTAATATCGGGTCAGGCACCGGGGATCTGACTTAGTTGGCCCATCTTCTACAGTCACTGTCCATTTATACTTGAATATCTTTCCTGGCAGAATTGGCATATCTTTCAAATGTTTCACACCTATGTACATCCAAATCCCAACAGAGTTTGATTAGAGTATAACAAGCCACATATAGGTAACCATGTTGTTATTGCAAGGGCTCTACAAATCTATATGTACATATGACATTTAGTAGTAAATGGAAACTAAATTTGTACCTACTGTAAGTTTAAGATTCATACAATTTTTAACAAGAAAAATGGGCCCGGGAGGTTTTTGCTAGTATGTTAGTTTGAGTTGAAATGGGCGGGTCTACCCACTATTACGAATACATAGAAATAATAGATGATTTTTTAATATATTTTAAATACACAGCTGAAAATGTATGAAGAAGAAGAAAAAAATCTCAAGTGCTAAAAAAAGAGAGACATCAATGCCAGAGTGGTAAGCAACGGTTGATAATCCAGGTGACCATGAGAGTTTCAGGCCTGAATATAAGACAAAGGTCTGTGCACTGAAATTGGAACTCACATGGGGTAGCAAGAGATGTGGCGAGAAATAGGAACAAGAAGTAAGACCTGCCCTCATGCTAATGGGTCCCTCAGGATAAGAAGTGTCTGATTTTAGTCATTAAGACTCACTTTGGGGTATGTTGAAAACCTGAAGATCCAGTCTAAATCAGAATTGCAACTTTATATCCTTCCTAATCTCTCCCTCATCCTTATTAGGTTAAGCTTGACCTGATATTAGGGAACCTGTAGACGAGAATGGTATGGTATGTTCTTTCAATGTTTCTCAGCCTTTTATCTTCCCTCTTCCGGTAGCTGAGAGCGAGGGTGGATGGGTATTGGAAGGAAGGGCACATAGACTTTTGATTAATAGGTCCTCTCTCTTTGACAGTACTGTTTGGTCACTAATGCTTTCTGTGTTGGCAGGTGCCAAAATGCTGGTCTTAGGACACATCTACATTTTCCTTGGCGTCACCATGGGGACCTCAGCACCGCACAGTTCCATGAACTTATTGATAAAAGGTACAGTACATGAGAAAGATATGTCATGAGTCTTTAAACAGCAAACAACATAGCAAATAAAAACTGAAGGCATAAAGTATTCTGAAATGAAAGATAAAACGATTACTAGATATCAAAAGCATGGAATGTAGTAAACTGTATTCAGAGGAAAAAATATATGACCGTAAGTGCATTCACTAGGAAAAAAATGCATATAATTAAATAAACTGAGAAGATAAATGATAGATGATAGATAGATAGATAGATAGATAGATAGATAAACAACCCAGCAGAAAAATAAGTAAAGGAGAAATGAACAGGAAATTTACAGTAGCAGAAACCCAAATGGCCAATAAAAATGTGAAAAGATGGTCGACTCTACAAGAAATTAAGATAAAAGCAGTAAGAAGACACTACTTTTCACCTACTAGATTGGCAGGATTTTAAAAGTCTATTATTGTCTAGCTATCAAAGATGTGGGAAGTTATATTTTCATGTATGACTAGTAAGAATACAAATTATTATATCATTTGGGAACAGAGGTCTGATTATTAAAAATAATTTTGTGACTCGGAAATTCCAGTTTGAGGTCAGTGAGCTTGGAGACAGATCAATAGAAACTATCGAATCTGCAGAAGAGAGGGAGAAGGAAAAAATATTAAAGTATTCAGGCGCGTGGGGCGGTACCAAAAGGTTAAACATACACGTAGATGGAGACCCAGCAAAGGAGACAGAGAACGGGGCGGAAAAATGTCTGAAGAAATAATGACCACGGTCTTTCCAGTTTGGTGAAAAACGTAAAGTTATAGATCCAGGAAGATCAGTGAACCCCAAGTAGAATTAAATATGAAGAAAATCACAGCCAGAATAAAATGACATAGAGAGGAAGAATGACTCAATGGAATCTAGACTTAGTTGTTTTAAAGGCCAGTAAAACATTATTTTGAAAGTACTAAAAGGAAAAAAAAAAAAACAAAACAAAACTCTCCACCCAGTATTCTATGTTCAGTGAAATTATCCTTCAAAAGTGAAGGAAAAAAAAAAGACATTTCAAATAAAATAAAACTAAGAGAACGTATCTCTGGCACACTTGCTCTATAAGGAATGCTAAAGAGAATTCTTTAGGCTGAAGGAAAATGCTCTGATTGGAAGGGATGCGAGAGGGGAATTTGGATGTCCAGCGAGGCCCGAAAAGCACTGATAACATAAATAGCTGGGTAAATATGGAGGCATGCTTTCCTCATGATTTCCTAAAACTACATATGACTGTTGGAAGCAAAAATTCTAGCGTCTTCTCGTGGGTATTGTAAACAGATGTGATACATGTGGAAATTATAGATAAAGGGTGGTGGGTGAAAAATGTACCTCTATGGTACATAAGAGCCGGGACAAGGAGCAACACAATTTTAGTTGTTATTGAGACTGTGACCTCATCTGTATCTACAGGTAGGAACGAACCATGAAACCGAGGTAACGCTTACCTTTTGGCAATCTCCCTTCGTGCAAAGGACTGACATCAGTAATTCCATGAGGGAAGATGTTATATGGTCGGCTTGCTTGATTCTTAAATATAATCTGAAAGTCCAAGTGAGATACAAGATCAAGTCCTAAGACGGGTAAGATCAAGAAGAAAAGCGTGCCTAGCTCTAGAAAACAAAATGCTTCGCATCCACCTTATAGGGGTTTAACGCTAGATGAAGCTCAAATGATTTGTTCTTTTCATAAAATTGCTCAGACGGCTGCTTAGGTTTCTCACTAAAGGCCTCTTTCCGTTTCTTTCAAAATATTTCAGTTGCTGCAGGAAGTACTCCTTGCGCCCCCACACACTAATTAAAATCCGAATGTCTGAGGAAGGTGCCGCTGCCCTCAGACTTTCCACCATTTGGGCACTGACTTCCCCAGTAGTGGAGAGAGAAGCAGTGTTCCAGAGATCACATCTTCGCCGAGTGAGCAGGCATGACCAGGGGGACACTTGGTTATGGCATTAAGCAAGGGTGGCCATCATCTGATCAAGTGAGCTTTCAAAGAGAGGATGTAAGGGCCATAGCATAGACACAGCAGTCGAGAACTCTGAGGACATCAACCCAGCCCCTAGATCCCAGGATAAAAAACCAATTCCACTCGCATTCTTGTATCAAAACTCACTCAACTCATAAAACCCACTAAACAGACGATTCCTTTCCTGCATCTAAGCAGCATAATGATGTAGGAGAAAAACTACGCAGCTCTGCGACCAGTTTCTTTGACTTCATGGCCACAAACCTCAAATGGGCACTAGCTACCTAGGCATCCTACTATCTTTTCCTAGAAATTCACCTTCCCACCTCCTGAGCCGACTGTTTGCTCTCCAATCCTCGCCCTCAGATGTTTCTTTTTTAACTGAGGAAAGAGAAGCCTTCAGAAAAGAACTTCCTCGTGCTTTTACCATCAGAGCAACCCACCTATATGCATAGATGGCCATATTCTCTCCTGTTTAAATCAGCTACTATCTAATGCCAACATTTCTTCTTTTGTACTAGTACGCAGTAAGGTTGGAGCATCTTCCATTGAAAACACTTCCTTTTGGGAGAGAATAGAGAACCAGAAGTCGACCTGCACGTATATAGACAACTGATATTTTAAAATATTTTTTTCAGTTACAGTTGACATAGAATATTACAGTTTCAGGTATAAAACATACTCGTTAGACATTTATATAACTTACAAAGCGATCACCTCGATAAGTCTAGTAACCATCGGATGCCATACGTAGTTATTACAATATTAATGAGTATATTCCCTATGCTGTACTTTGCATCCCCGTGACTGTTTTTTAACTACCAGTATGGACTTCTTAATCCGTTCACCTTTTCCACCCAGCCTCTTAACCCACGTCCTATCTGGCAATCATCAGAAGTTCTCAGTATCTATGAGTTTCTTTCTGTTTTGTTTATTTATTTTGTTCTTTATATTCCACATATAAGTAAAATCTTATGGTATTTATCTTTCTCTGACTTCCTCCACTCAGCACAGTACCCTCCAAGTCCATCCATGTTGTTGCAGATGGCGAGATCTCATTCTTTTTTATGGCTGAGTCATATCTCATTGTACATATGTACCTCCTCCTCTTTATCCGTTCATCCATTGACGCACACCCAGGCTGCCTGCATATCTTGGCTACTGTAAATAATGCTGCAATGAACCTATGGATGCATCTGTCCCTTCGAAGTCGTTTTGGGTTCGTTTGGATAAATACCCAGAAGTGAGATTACTGGGTCCTTGATCTTTGTTGTTTTTGTTCGTTTCCATGAAATGTCTTTTTCCGTCCCTTTCCTGTCAGTCTCCGTGTGTCTTCTGATCTGAAGTGAGTCTCTCGTAGGCAGCATATGTGAGGGTCTTTTCTTATCCATTCAGCCACCTTATGTCTTTGGATTGGAGCATTTAATCCATTTACGTGTAAGTATCATTGGTAGATATGTAGTTATTGCCATTTTATTATTCACATTTTTGATCTTTTCTTCTTAAAAAAATCCCATTAGCATTGCCTGTAACCCTGGTTTGGTGGTGATGAACTCCTTTAGCTTTTTCTTGTCTGGGAAGCTCTGTTTGTCCTTTGATTCTGAATGATAGATGTGCTGGGTGGAGTCATCTTGGTTGTAGCTCTTTGCTTTTCATCACTTTGAATATTTCATGCCAGTCCTTTCTGGCTGCAAAGTTTCTGTTGAGAAATCAGCTGATGGTCTTATGGGAGCTCTCCTGTAGGTAAATAGATGCTTTTCTTTTGCTGCTTTTAAGATTCCCTCGTTGTCTTTAACCTTCGTCATTTTAATGATGATGTGTCTTGGTGTGAGTCTCTTTGGGTTCATCTTGTTTGCGACTCTGCACTTCGTGGGCTTGTATGTCCATTTCCTTCACCAGGTTAGGTAAGTTTTTCCATCATTATTTCTTCAAATAAGTTTTCAATTCCTTGCTCTCTCTCCTCCTTCTGGTACCCCTATGATGCGAATGTGGGTATGCTTGATGTCCCAGAGGCCCCTTAAAGTATCCTCATTCTTTTGGATTCTTTTTTGCATGTTGCTGTTCTGATTGGGTGTTTTCTGCTACCTTGTCTTTCAAATTGCCAATTCGATCCTCTGCTTCATCTGATCTACTGTTGGTCCCCTCTAACACAGCGGTCCCCAACCTTTCTGGCACCAGGGACCAGTGCTGCTATGAGAATCTAATGCCTGATTAACTGAGGTGGAGCTGAGGTGGTGATGCTAGTGCTGGGGAGTGGCTGCAAATCCAGATGAAGCTTCGCTCCCTGGCCCACCGCTCACCTCCTGCTGTGCAGCCCAGTTCCTAACAGGCCATGAACCGATATCTGTCCACAGCTTGGGGGTTGGGGGTTGCTGCTCTAACGTCGTCTTCATTTCAGTTCTTGTATTCTTCATTTCTTACTGGTTCTTTTTTATGTTTTCTATCTCCATTTATATGCTTCTTGTCTCTTTGTTGAATTTCTGAGATCATTGAGCATCCTTATAACCAGTCTTTTAAAATCTGCATCTGGTAGATTGCCTCCATTTTGTTTAGTTCTTTTTCTGGCGCTTTGTTCTGTTCTGGGACGTGTTTCTTTGTCTCCTCATTGCAGCTGCCTCCCTGTTTTTGTTCCTATGTATTAGGTATTGCCACTAGGTCTCCCAGTCTTAGTAGAGTGGCCTTATGTAGGAGGTGCCCTGTGGGGCCCACTGGCACAGTCTCCCTGGTCACCTGAGCCGGGTGTTCCAGGTGTATCCCTTGTGTGGGTTGTGTGTGCCCTCCTGTTACAGCTGAGCCTTAATTGCCATTTGTATATCAATGGGAGGGACTGCCCCTCAGGCTGACTGGCCGTGAGGACAGTGGAGGAGCTGCTGTGCACGGCTTGACCCCAAGAGCAGGATTCGCTTTAGCAGGGCTCTGGTGCCTGCCCCGTCTGCCCTTCAGCTGTGTCACCCTCACATGCGCCCAGGTGGCGCGCTGGTGTGGTTTGAAGCCAGCCACCGAGTGTGTTGGTTTTGGGGCCTCTTGCGAAGGGCTCTATTGCAGACCGATATCATGTGCCTGTGCCCCACCTAAGTCGACTTGCTATGAGCAACAAAGTTATCTGAAGATAGTTGCCACTTGTGCTGGGCTTGGAGGTGCCCGGGAGAGGCTAAGCTGTGAACCAATGCTGGGTGCCACTAGTGTCAGGCTTGGGGCTGCTCAGAAAGAGGAACGGGGCACACTAAGGCCAGATGTTGTTTGTTTGGGCTTTGTGAACCTTTGAGAGATTTTAGGAAAGTCCACAGCATAAGCTAAGACAGGCCATTTGTATGGAAAAGCCAGTGGAAGAGCTTAGGTAGGTCCACATGTTGGGCGGGCTGGTGTCTCAGAATTGCCAGGGCAGGGCAAATGGTGTGAACCAGGTTAATGGAGACTCAGATATGGGGCCCACCTGGGTCTGCACGCTGGGTGAGGGGAGAGCCCAACAAAGGAACAATGCCTTCCATCAGCACTTCTGTCTGGGCAAAAGCTGCCCCTCCAGCCCTCACACCGAAGCCAGACAACTCAGTTCCTCCCTGTATATCTCTGGCGCCTTTCAAGCTGCTTGTCCAGCGGCTGGAGCTCAGGGCGAGTGAGCCCATCAGTGCTAAGTCCATCCTCGGGCCCTTAAGAGGAGCATCTGCGACTCCCGCAGCCCTCCCCTCGCTCAGCCACACTCTCTGCTGGTTTTCACAGCCAGAAGTTGTGGAGACTTCTCCTCTCTGCACTGGAACCTTGGGGAGCCTAGCTTGGGGCCTTGTGTGGGGCTGGGACCCCTCACTTCTCCAGTAGAGATGCCTCCTGATTTTTAGCTGCCTCAGGTGGCTGTGGGACCTGCCCAATCTGCATCTTCACCCCTCCGACAAATCTTGAGGTGGCTTCTTCTATATGTTCTTAGTTATATGACTTCTGTTCAACTAGAGTTCAAATGATTCCCGATGATGGTCGTTCTGTAGTTTCATTGTAATTTTGATGTGGTGGTGGGAGGAGGCGAGCATAGCATTTGCCTACTCTGCCATCTTGACTGGAAGCCTATGGTCAACTGATCTTTGACCAAGAAGTAAAGACAATTAAATGGAGCAAAGATAGTCTTTTTAACAGATGGTGCTGGAACAAATAGACATTCCCATGCCAAAAAAAATCTAGTTGCAGAGCTTACACCCTTCATAAAAATTAACTCAAAATGGATCCTAAACCTGCATAATTTTTTTGAAATTCTTCTGCATGTGGGATTTGTCTGTGTTCTCCCATCTATTTATTCATTTAATCATTTATTTATATCAGTAAAGACTAATGAGTACTTATTTTATACTTTGGAGTTTAATCTAATACTACATTATTTATTTTGTTGCTTGAATTCTTCCAGCTTGGCCATCAGAAGCTCTTTAAGCTGGTTCTTATATCCCTTTGACATTGTCCTATCCTTTCTTTTTATTTGAGCACATTCTTACTTTCCATAACCACAAGACGCCCTGGGCTCATCCTGCATTTTCCCTGAACATGCAGGGAAATCATCCATTTCTCCAAGGAGCCTCAGTTCCTTTAATGAGAGAATGGTATTAGAAACCACGATTTGGGGGGTGCTTATTGCTACTGGGGTGCCACTGCTTCTAGGCCCTCTCAGCGGGCAGAACTAGGAAATCCACTAATTTCTATGTAAAAACATAGAGATATCTCTAATTATTTCTGTATCTAGCCACCTTGTATCTCCATATGAAGCCAAACAGGAGTTCATCCTGTTGTCTCCAACTCCAGTCCACTATCACATGATTCACTCTGGAGCCTTTCCCCTTTGCTTATTTATAATTATACTCTCCGGCAGTAAGAAATCTAGCTCCCACCATCTGTCATTTATTTCCTTAGTCTTCAAATAATAGCAGTTTAGTTTATTCCTTTTTGATCGTAAAACTTTTCCACCTAAGAACACTGGCTAGGCTTTCTGGTAAAATGTTAAAGTTGGTGATACTTTATAAACTGTCTCTTGTCCTAATCTATAGGTTTTCTGCAGATCTTGATCAGGATAAGGACATCCCTTGCAATCCCAATTTCTTAGGACATTTTATCATGAACGGATGTTGAATTTTGATAAATGCTTTTTCCCCTGAAACTATTAAGATTATCAAAAGATATTTTGCTCTTTTATGTGTTAATATAGTAGATTACCACATTTTATTTTCTAAAGTTAAGTTTGCCTAGTATTGCTGGTATAAATCGACGAGGTCATAATGTATTATCTTTTTTTCTATATTGCTGTATTGGGTTTATTTAATTTTGCTTAGAATCCCTGAATGTTTATAATGCAATTGATCTATAATTTAAATTTTCCTTTCTCATACTCTCCTGCTCAGGTTTACAACCTAGATTATTTTACCTGATAGAAAATAACTAGTGGGTCTTTCTTTGTTCTTATACTCTACATTTAAAATGTTGATGTGAAATTATGTATTCCTTGACTATTGGTATAAATTGCCAGTAAAATGGCAATTCTTGCTAGCTTGTTAGTGATTTTCTTTCAGCACACTAAAGCACGATTTCATTTTCTTCTGACTCACTCTAGAGAAGTAAGTCGTGAGTTTATGTGGCAGTTATAAAACATGGCTCCCAAATTCTTTGACACCTCTCTCATCATGAGGTAGGCCAGATTTTCTCTCTCCTTGATTCTGGGTGGGCTTTGGCTTCTTCGATTAACAGTATAAAGTGCTGTGTGAATCCTGATGCTGGGTCCTAAAAGGTGATGCACTTTCTAACTTGTTTAGTGGAACACACACGATTGGAGCCCTGAGCCACCATGTGAGAAGTCCCTATCCCGAGGCCACCATCGTGCGAGGAAACCAAGCCGCATAGACAGCTGTGTGTTCTGGCTGACAGTTCTAGTCTTTGAGTCCTCCCCGTTCGGGTGCCAAACATGTGAGTAAAGTTGTCTTACTCCCTCCGGATCTGCTGATTATCACCAAATGACCTCAGTCGATACCAAAGAGATACAGAATTGCCCAACTGAGCCCTGCTTGAATTCCTGACACACATATTCTGTGAGAATAATAAAATGGCTATTGTTTCAACCACTAAGTTTTGACGTAGTAGGGTACATAGCAATAGTAACCAGAACAGTGTAATTATCATTCCTTTAAATGTAATCTGTTTTTCTGCCCATTTTAAAAACATGTTTATCGAGGTATAATTTATATACCATAAAATTCACCCATTTTAAGTGTATAATTCAATGATTTTTAGTAAGTTTACAGAATTTTGCAATCATCACCACAATCCAGAATTAGAACATTTCTGTCACCGCCCCCCCGCCCCCCCCAGAAAAGATCCTTCATGCTGGATTGCAGTCAACTCCTGCTCTAACTTTTTTTTTTCGGGATAAGTATATTGTCCTGTGCAATTCCATCTGTATTTTAGGATCAGCTTGTCATTTTCTGCAAAAAAAACCAGTTGAGATTTTGATAGGGATTGAATTGAATCTGTAGATCAGTTTGGACGAATCTTTACAAGTAATTGACTCTTCCAATCCATCAGCATAAAATGTTTTGCCGTTTATTTAGATGTCCTTTAAGTTATCTCAGCAAGAGTAGTCATTTTCAGTATACAAGTCTTGCACTTTTTTTTGTTAAATTTGTCCCAGATTATTTTATTCTTTTTTTTGATGTTATAGTGAATAAAACTTTTTTTTTGTAGATTATTCATTGATAAGAATATAAAGAAATATATACATATATAGAAATACAACTTATTTTTAATATTGATCTTGTATCCTACAACCTTGCTGAACTTGTTAATGAGTTCTAATAGCTTTTTAGTAGATTCCTTAGGATTTTCCACATAGAAGATCTTGTTATCCACAAATAAATACAGTATTATTTCTTCCTTTCCAATCCAAATGCCCCTAATTCAGCTTTTTTGGGGGAGGGGCCCATTTCACTTGTTCTTCCAGTAACAAGAGTGGACGTCTTGCTCCCAATTTCAAGGGGAAAACATTCACTTTTTCACCATATTATAAACTTTTCTTAGATGTCCTTCCTTTGTCAAGTCGAGGACCTTGACTTCTGTGGCTAGTTCACTGAGAGTGTTTTCTGTCATGAATGGGTAGTGAAAGACTTTTTATTTTATTTTACTTTATTTTATTAGTTTCAAGTATACAGTACATCAGTTAGACATTTATATAGTTTATAAAATGATCCCCCTAATTGCTCTTTCTTTCCTCTGGCTCTCCACCTAGCCATTACATTACTGCTGACTGCATTCCCTATGCTGTGCTCCCCGTCCTTGTCACCATCTATAAACCACTGATTTGTACTTCTTTAACCCTTCACCCCATTCTCCCAGCCCCCAACCTCCTCCTCCCCTCTGTCCATCACCAGCTTGTCCTCTAAAATTGTTGTTCTGCTTTTGATTAGTTTGTTCTTTTGTTCCTTAGATTCCTCATGTAAGTGAAATCATGTGGTATTTATCTTTCTTTCTCTGACTTATTTCACTCAGCATAATAACCTCTAGGTCCATCCATGTTGTTGCAAATGGTAGGATTTCATTTCTTTTAGTGGCTGAGTAATATTTCATTGTATATATAGACCATAATTTTTTTATCGAAACGTCTGTTGATGGGTATTTAAGTTGCTTCCATATTTTGGCTATTGTACATTGTGCTGCCATGAATATTGGACTGCATAGATCTTTATGAATTATCGTTGAGCCTCCATTCTGTTTTCCACATTAGCTACACCAATTTGCAATCTTGCCAACAGTGCACAAGGGTTTCTACTTTTCCACATCCTTGCCAATACTTGTTATTTGTTGATTTGTTGATGATGGCCATTCTGACAGGTGTCAGATGATATCTCATTGTGGTTTTAATTTGCATTTCTCTGATGATTAGTGACTTTGAGCATCTTTTCATATGTCTATTGGCCATCTGTATTTCCTCTTTGGAGAAGTATCTGTTCAAGTCTTCTGCCCATTTTTTAATTGGATTGTTTCTTTGTTGTTGATCATTTTGAAAGGTTTTGTTGAACCTTTTTCTCTACCCATTACATGATCATATGCTTCTTGTCTTTTCAATTCATATGGTGTATTTCATTCATTTTCATATATTAAACCATCCTTGCATTTCTGAGATAAATCCCACTTCGTCATGGTGTACAGTCCTTCTAAAATATTGCTGGGTTTTGGTTTACTAGTGTGTTGTGGAGAATTTTCGTATCTATATTCATAAAGGGTATTAGACTCTAGTTTTCTTTTTAAATTTTGAGATTTGTGGGCTAACGTATGGTCTGTCCTGGAAAATGTTCATGTTCACTTGAGGAGAATGTGTATTGTGTTGGAGTTGGGTGAACTCTTCTATAGATGTCTGTTAGGCCTAGTTAGTTTATAGATGAAATGAGATTAGCCATTTGTTGATAACTTTTGAGGCTGAGTGATGTGTTCGAAGAAGTTTATTTTACTATTCTCTCTATTTCTGGGTATGTTTGAAAATTTTTATATAAAAAATAAAAAAATAATTCTCAAAATCTTACATCAATAGAAAAGCTCAATAGGAATCAGCAAGGTATCCAGAGTATGTATAACTTACATAAATCAAAGAATTAGGTATGTCTGTATACCTTGACATGAAATGATATCCGAAATAAAAATCATGGTACAGAACAATTTACATAGTGCTTCTGTTTTGTGTAAAATATATACACATATACTTGTTTCTGGATAGGAATATAAAAACTGACAGCAGTGATTGTCAGACTATGGAGTTGGAAGTCTGAGAGGGAGGAAAATTTACTTTTTATTGTATACTCTTTTTTGCCTTTTGAATTATTCTTAATGTCTAATTAAAAAATAGGTAAATACAATTTATGAAAAAAATTTTACAAGAAGAGCTACTTAAAATTTTGAAGAAATATGATGAGGGAAGCCTTGCCCTACAAATACCAAAATGTATCACAAGTTGTAGTCATTTAAATAGTGTGATAACAGATCACTTAAAGAGAACAAATTTTAGCAATTTAGTGCTTGATAAAGAAGGTATTTTTAAATTAGTGAAGAAAGAATTGATGGGACCAATTGGCTGTCATTTAGGGAATCCTTTTTTGACGCTATGTACTATACTCAAAAGTAACTTTCAGAGCAATTAAAATGCTTATTGTAAAAACAAAACTATAAAAGTAAATTAGTAAAATATAGTAGGCTACTTTTATAATCTCATAGGGGTGATGAAGATATTCTTAAGCAGAAAACGTAAATGAAAAATTGATAAAAGTTTGACTATATAAAGATCAAAAGTCTTCATAGGATAAAAGGCATCATAAAGGATTTAGAGTACAAGTGACAGAGAAAAATTTTTGGAAGACAAATAACAATGTGCCAATATTTATAATGCACAGAGCCTTTTATAAGTATATAATCAAAACATGACCATTTTAATAAAAAACTGGACAAAATTTACAAGCAGGCAATTCACAGTGTGTGTCATGTAAATAGTCAACAGACATGAACTCACTATTCAATTTCTCTACTAACCAGGGAAATGCAAATGAAGACAATACGTAAATCTTCTGCTTAACAAGTTGGAAAATTTTTTGAATGTGTATAATATATATTATTGTCAGTGGTGTGGGGAAAAGGGCACTCATATGCCCTTGGCGAGGGTATAAATTGATACAGAGTTGTTGAAAGGCATTTTGGCGATATCTAACAAAACTCCCTGTTGGGAAAGGCAGCCTCACGTGTACGGTCTTTTAACCTCCACCTGGCCATATAAGAAAGAGTCTTCGGCCTGGAACACTTCCTTAGTAGGAAATAAAGCACCCGCATAGTCTGTTCCGGGCTTATCACCTTTTGTGAGAATCTTTCCCTGTTTCAGTTTCAATGAATGTTCCTTTGTTCTGTTTCAAAGCATGTGCATCAATGGGCCTCAGCCATGCCTGCAGCTTTCAGTATTTCAGACTCCACAGGGGAGGGTTGGGATCCTTCTCCTGCAGCATGAGAGAGGTGCTCAGAAGCAAACTGCCACGGGGTGCTCATGCACCCTGTCGAAGCTACTCTTGCTCTCCTATGTCTTTTCTTTATGTGAGTAAAGGCATTGTTCCATCCAGTGTTAGACAATACTGTGTCTTCCTTGGTGACTCCAATACAAAGACACAGTGGGCAGAAGTGTTGGGGCTTCTGTTCTTGGTGGCCATCATAGTGATGATATTCACTCTCCACCATGTAGTTAGGGTCCTCCTCTGGCCTTGGTACCTAGTGCATGCTGCTCTGCTTGACACTCCATGTATAGTTCATGACAATCTTGAGCTGCCGAGTTGACAGCATCGTTCATGACAGTCTTGAGCTGCCGAGTTGACACGACCATCCATCTAGCTCCAAACCGATTGTGAAAAAATACACCCCTACCTTTTTGAAACCACCACATTGAGTATTCTATTCTTTGCAGCATGAGCATTCTTATTACCCTATGTCAAGGGTCAATAGACCTTTTCTGGAAGGGGCTGGATGGTAAATGCTCTAGGCTTTGTGAGCCATGTCATATGGGACAGTCTCTGTCCCGTATTCTTATTGTTATTCTTTTCTTTACAACTCTTTAGGAATGTAAAATCCTTTCAAGTGCATAGGCTGTCCAGAAACAGACTATGAGCCAAATTTGGCTCACAGGCCATATCTTGGTGATTCCTGTACTATATAATTGGCAAGAAAGTTTTAGAAGGATATGTATCAAAGTCTAAGAAATGAGTATTTCAAAGATGTGTGGCAGGTTTAATGGGTGGCATTAAATTTACATCCTATATATTTAAAAAATTTATAACCTACATTTATTTGCATAACATTGACAGTTTTTAAAAGATAATGCCCATTAGAGACAAGGCTGAATTATGAAGTTTTTAGAAACTCAAAACCCTCCCGACTTCTTACCCAACTTTATATCTTTTTCTCAACTTACCAACAGTGTATCTCCAACTTCTCCATAAAGTAAAGGTCCCAAGATTCCTGATTCATATTGAGTAGCTTCACGAGTTTTAAATGTTTCATCTGTATATGCCATAAATCGAACTTTTTTGTACTTCCTACCAATCCGCTGAGGACCATTGTTCAAATATAGACTTTTATAACTTCTGTATGAGACACACAAAAAAAGAGGTTGGAATGGAGAATTCTAGGTAGAGGACAGGTAGCTAAACTCCACCTCTAAAACAACCGATATGATTTAATCAAGGAAAAGAGTGAGAAAAATACAAGCATCTTTGATGCTTAGCCGGTTTAGTTTCCAAACATGTTAATGGCTTTGACATTTGATGGCGTATGTGTATCTACCCTAAACATCTCAAGGATGTATTGTTTTGAATAACTGGGAAGAACATTTTGAGTACGGGGAAGAGAGAGTAGCAAGTTGCTTACTTGTCACTGGCTGTGGAGACCAAGGGAGCATAGTCCCAGTCCTCCTCTTCAGCAGCTATATAGTGGACCCAAGTTTTAGGATGCTTCTTGGCAACTGAGCGGATTTGGATAAAGGGAGAAGAGTTGTCACCGTCAAACCTGACAACGTCCATGTCGGAGTCATAAAGATCATCATCATCATATTCCTCTTCTTCATTAGTTTTCATCCGTAGTCGGGGTTCCTCTGGGCAGCTCTCTACTTTAACGTAAGCTTCCATACCATCTGGAGTCAGACAAACCGAACAGTGTCAGATTCCTACAAGACTTTCTTGCCTTAACTTCTACAACTTCTTTCTCCTTAGGCCTTCAAGGCCCTCTCTGAAGTGTCCCCTTGTCCACACCAGTGCTCTTTCTTGCCCTTTACCTGGGTCGCCTTCCCCATATCTGGTACTGGCTAGTCTCTTTCCTGTGGTTTTTGCCTTTGCCATTTCCCTTCTGCCTGACTCTCTCTCAACACATGTTTTTACCCCTTTTTCAAGACTCACTCATTTGCTGTTATAATACATATGACTAGTTCCTTTATGGAACTGGAACTGAGCCTATCACTCCCAAATTGTAAACAAGGAGACTTGAGGAAATGTATATTTTCAGCATTTGGAAGCCTACATCAGACCAACCCCCCCACCCCTACAGTTACCTAATGATTTCTGTATTTACTCCAGTGGAGTATGACATGAAACACTGACTTAATAATAGCTTATCAGGGAACATTTTAGGGTAGATATAAACTTCAAGACACAGTCCAAGTTCATAAAAACAAAAAGGTAGAACAAAATAAAAGAAATGTTATATTTTTTAAGAGCATATCTGCCTGTGATTAGTTATAAGCCCTACGGCAAGTCTGTTCAACAGTCTCCATCTCATCTTCATGCTTTATAAAATGTGAATAATAATCCCTACTCCATCCATGCCATAGACCTATTTTGAAGATCAGTACTAACAAGGGAGGCCTGATTACTGGATGATGGGGAACACTGCAGACTTCAGGAGCAGCAAACAGCTAGTCTGGGGTCAATGTGGCCTTAAGCATAATTCGTTCTAGATCTAAAAATGGTTTTTGTCAGAGATCCAGCAAGACAAAGTGTTTTTCTGAAAAATGAGAATTAAAATAAGTTATCAAAAGAATAAAACAAAGTTGTCAAAATAATAAAACAAAACAAATTCCTTTTAGAATCAGGCTCAAACTAGATAATGACCAACCTGCACATAAGTAAATGATCTATTCCTCTGCGCCTATAGAATCAACTTCCTGTTACTCAGAATGATACCCTTTGTCCCCTAATGTCTTGTCAAAAATTTCTTAAATATTATGTAAAAGATGAGGAAAAGAGGTCCCTGTTTTTCATCACTACAGAGGACTCTAAACAAGGTTGCTCATAGAACATAAGGGGAAAATAGTAGATGCAAAGCAAGATCAAATCTCTTTTCCAAGGCAACCATGGAACCTGAAGAGAGTTAATATGAGAGTGATCGGGACAAACAAGTGCTGTCAAACATGGAAGACTAGGCCTTCTCCACATTCTCCACCAGTGGCCCTCAATGGCTACAATAGAGTAGACCAAGAGGCTTGATAGACTGATTCAAGATTAAGAGTTAGCAGAATAAATGCACAAGAAGGAAGATGGGGGTGAGATGATCACGTAATATGAATTTTCACAGCCCGTACCTACAAACGAGGTCATGTTCACAATAATTTGAAACTGTAGGCACCATTGTCCCAATTTGCTTACACAGGACCTTTGACCCTCTGCAAAGTCCTCATTAGGTAGTCCTTAAAAACCTCACGTGGTGCCTCAGATATGCTCACCAACCTCCATTTCCATGTTCCTTCACCCAATATCCAGTATCCCCTGACATGCTCTGAGTTTCCCAGATGTCTCGCATCTCCTATGAGGTATTTGCAGAGTGCCTCCATGTGCACCAGTGTCTGGTGTCCCATATTGAACACTGCAGTATCCTCTTGCATTTGCTGGTTATTGCTCTGGACACCTCTACTGATACCCCGGAGCCCTTGTGATTACCACCTGGGCAGTGCTGTTTTTTTTTTCCATTTCCCTAAATTTCTTATAAAGCATCTCTTCGGCTATGACTTGTCATCTCTCTCTCTCCATAGTATTAAAGCCTGGTTAATGGGATCAGGCTGGAAAACCAATAATGTACTGTCCTTCTCACTTTTGCCACCTCATTTCTCC